CATCGACATTCTACAACCAATAAGTTTTTCATTTTGGTCTAGACGATTCTACTTCGTCCACGCTGAAGATCTTCTGTAAGTTAACATCTATTAATATGTATAAATATTAATATATCGTATTTTTTTGGATTTGAACCAAATTTCTAGTGTAAAAGTTTTAAATTTTTGACCACAAGACGGACTTGTTGTTTAATTAAACAAAAATTTAAAAGAAAATAATTAAGCAACGTGACTCAATTCTGATTATGGATTCATCCTAAAAGGGCCCAAAAGGAATATGAAATGAGCCTAATAGCCCATACCGAAATTATTTTTTACAAATCCATAATTATTTTAAAATGACCAAGAAAATAACAAAAGTTTTTTAATAAGTAAAAAAAAAAAACATTATCTTTCGGACATCTGAAAAACCTAACCGACTTCTCTCCTCCAACCACTGTGTAAAAAAGCACTCAGACTCACACTTTTCTTCTTCTCCCCTCAACCAAAAATTTTCCCGAGAAAATCTCAAATGTCAAATCTTAACTTTCCCCAGATGTGAAAAAACCTTATCTTTCAAGCTTCCGTATCAAACTTCCCTCAAAAATGGCAACTATTCCAATGGATATCGTCAACGATTTATTCCTCCGTTTACCAGCAAAGAGCTTGGTTCGATTTCGTGCTCTCTCAAAGCCATCTTGTCTTCTAATCGATAGTCCTGATTTCATCGCATCTCATCTCGATCGTGTTCTTCAAACAAACGATCACCTCATGATTCTTCTCAGAGGCGCTCTTCATCTTTACACGGTGGATCTCGATTCACTCGATACTGTTTCCGATGTCGAACATCCGATGAAACGTGGTGGTCCGACTGAAGTATTCGGATCCTGTAATGGGTTAATCGGATTATCGAATTCTCCGACTGATTTAGCCATTTTCAATCCATCTACTCGACAAATCCATCGATTACCTCAATCGACTATCGATCTACCCGATGGTTCGACGACTCGTGGGTACGTGTTTTACGGGTTAGGTTACGATTCTGTGAACGATGATTATAAAGTTGTGAGGATGGTTCAGTTTAAACGTGATTCAGATGATGAACTTGGTTGTAGTTTCCCTTATGAGGTTAAAGTTTTTAGCTTGAAGATGAATTCATGGAAGAGAATCGTATCGGTTTCGCCTTCGATTCAGCTATTGTTCTACTTCTATTACCATTTGTTATATCGTCGTGGTTATGGTGTTCTTGCTGGTAATAGTCTTCATTGGGTTTTACCTCGAAGACCTGGTTTGATTGCGTTTAATATCATTGTGAGGTTTGATCTCGCCATAGAGGAATTCGATATTGTTCGGTTTCCAGAAGCTGTTGTGAATGGTGATGTCGATATTCAGATGGATATAGGTGTTTTAGATGGATGTCTTTGTTTGATGTGTAACTACGATCAGAAATATGTTGATGTTTGGATGATGAAAGAGTACAATGTGAGAGATTCTTGGACTAAAGTTTTTACGGTTCAGAAACCGAAAAGCGTTAAATCGTTTGCGTATATGAGACCTTTGGTTTATTCCAAGGACCGGAACAAGGTTCTTCTTGAGATAAACAATACGAAGCTAGTGTGGCTTGATATAGAGAGTAAGAAGCTTAGTACTCTTAGAATTAAAGATTGCCCTAGCTCGTATAGTGCGGAGCTCGTTGTGAGTAGCCTTGTTTTGGGATGTAAAGGAGATTTTAATAACATTAAACACCGGAATGAACAACGAGCTAAAGAAGCTAGAGAAGCCAAAATGATGCAGAACAGTAAAAAAAGGTGGTTTTTTATTGTTCTTGTCAAAATATGATATGAGAGAAAGCAAACCTTTAATATCATTTTCCGTGGTTTGTTAAGTGATTCTGCATCGATATGCTCATTTCTTCCCATTGTTGTTCATCGCAGAGATGATTTCCTGTCCAAGGGATTCAAGCTAGTCTTATAAGCAAGAGCCAAGAACTAAAGCTAGAGAAGGTAAGTGTAAGTTAGTCATTGTTAATGGTGTTTAGTTGCTGCGACATGCCTACATCCTTATTTAGTTATTTTATGTTTTTCTCTCTGTTCTCTTTTGTCGCGGACGAGCTTTTTTCATATTCGGGTGGACATGAACAGTCAAAGACAGATTTTGTCATAGGTATTGATTGCTAAGAACATCATCCCCTAGAAAGTGTCATGGAGTCATCTTCATTAGGACAATAACTTTTGCATATGGCCCTTTTCCAAGTGTTTTTACTTTCACATCAATCTTTATGAGAACTATCGATATGCAAACCATCATCGCGGTTTGAATTTTTCAGGGCGGAGAGAAACGGGAAGGAGAAATAGCTTCAACCAAAGCTTGGATTATACCACAGGAGATAGTAGTAATAAACTTATAAACAACCTAACATAAGTATGTCCTTAGAGAAGAGAGGGTACTTCAATATGCAAGTGTTGTTGCTTTGTAAATGAGATGAAATCTAAAATATATACTATTATAACTCTTATGAAGCTTTGTTGCAATAACTTAATACTAGCCTTTGTACTCAAAAGTTTTAGTCTCTCCATAGATTGAGATGTGAATTATTTAAGATTCAAATAAAAAATAACTCTTTCAAAAATATATATAGAAAATTATCGTAACTAAAACAACGTAAATAAAATTGTCATATCTAAGTAAATGAATGAATCTCTTACAAAATTAAAGGTTAATGTATCTTATATAATATAGTAAGGTTTTTCAAAATTCAAGCTAGGAGAGGCTACCAAGTGTCATATTTGTTTTTGACATTTGTCTTTTTAATTTATTTATTAAAAAGAAAAGAAACAATTATGGATCATTTAATAAATTTAGCTATTAATTCTAACAAGTTACAATTAAATATTTTGTGTATATATTTATGTAGTTCTTATGTAAATTATAATATAATTTTTATGTATAAAAAATATATATTTTATTTATCAAATCTAGCGGTATGCTATACAAAATTTTTTTTGATTTTTTTGCCTTTCATATAGGTAACTGTGATTTTAAAATAAAAAAATCACAAACAAACTTTAATAAAAAAAAAGCATAACATGAACAAAAAAGAAAAATGATATGAGAAAATTAAAGAATGATTTTAGGACTTTTAGAGCTATTAAACCCAACAAGTCTGATTGAAGAAATTTAAAATTTAAACGTTTTTAAAATGTTTTCATAGCTTTTAAAACCAATTTACCAATCACCCTCTAATGCAATTGAAACAATTTGTGTTGGACAAATTAACATTCCTAACTTAGAATCTTGAAAGAAAACTTTACTCCACCATAAATTGAAAATCCAGAAAAATAGAATCACTTCACTAATGAATTGATGTAAAAGATAAAAATCACAGCAAAACAATAAATAGATTCACACAAAAATACAATCAAGTATCAATTATTCTCTGCTTATGATTCAAGGTTTTAATGAAATAAACAAAAGATGCATACCAATACCTCTGTTGAGATGATGTAGATGTATCGGTAGAATCAAAACAAACAACAACTTGTCTGATCAATAGATTTTTACAGACATATTTTATGCAAAAAAATATACGACCAATCATTTTTTAGAAAATCGTAGTGAATATTGATTCAAACATACAAGTTAAAGATTTGTTCCAAAGAAAATGTCTTCTCTATGCTGTAATTTTTATTAATGAACGGTCTATTTCTTTTATATATAACATTGTATATGTCCAACAATTTGCTAAAAATGTTTAGTCTTCTAACTTGGATAATTATTTACTATAAACACCAAATTTATATAACATTAAGTACACAAG